GATAACACCAGACCCCAGATGATCAGTAAAGCCAAGTCAGAATGTACCACTGAAGAAAGGAGAAAGTACAACCTAGACAATATTGTCAAGGACATCCTCTACAAGTCCATTGATGATAGGTACTTCAACAGAATCAAGAAGTGCAAGACTGCTAAGGAAATCTGGGATACTCTTGAGCTCATTGGAGCTGGTGATGAGCAAGAAAAGGACAACAAACTAACCATAGCCAACAAGAAGTTTGATGACTTCAAACTTCTCCCTGGTGAAAGCATCTCCAAGATGTATGACAGGCTCCTCACTCTCACTGGAGAGATCTCTGAGCTTGGCAAGGAACTCACCACCAAGGAGATCAACCTGAAGGTGTTGAGGGGACTGCCCTCAGCATGGAAGATGAAGGTGGTTGTTGTCCAAGCCAGCAAGGATGTAAAGACTTATCCCACTGATAAGCTCATTTCAGATCTCAAAGCTCATGAGTTTGAAATGATTGAAGAAAAGGAAGATGTACCAGAAGAGAGGACCACTACAGCCCTCACTGCCAGCACATCAAAGGTAAATGATTTTGACCCTTCAGTACTTTTATCTGATGAATATATGGCTGCCTTTGCCAGGAGATTCAAAAAGTTTATGAAGAATCCTAAAGATGGAAGGAGTCCATCTTTCAACAAAAAGCCATACCAGAAGGTCAAATCAACAGAAAGCAGTGGAGAGCTTCTCTGTTACAATTGCAGACAACCTGGTCACTTCAAGGCTGATTGTCCCCATCCAAGGGTGTCCAAGAAACAAGGACAGGATGGAGAAAAGAAGAAGTACGAGGACAACTCCAGAAGGAGAAAGGCACTTGTGACAGAACAGCTAGAGAAAGACCCTCTGTCAGAAACAGAATCCAGTTCTGACTCAGATTCTGATGAGGCCTTCTGTTGCCTTGATACTGAGACAGAAGACCTTTGCCTCATGGCTCATTCTGATGATGAGGTAACCTCTACTTCTGAATCTAGTTTTTCTTCGGTAGGCTTAGCTTTTGATTCTGATTCAATGTCAGAATTTTGGGAAGAGTTTAAGGCCATACAAGCCACTTATTCTTCTGTAACAGAAGAAAACAATAAGTTAAAAGCTGACATTCTTGACTTAAAGAAGGAGGTTGAGATCAAAATCAATCTTCTAATTAAGGAAAGAGATCAACTGGAGACTGAAAATGTTTCTCTTCTCAAGAGAATAAGAGAAATAGAGCCTCTTGAGATTAAGTACAAAGCTTACCAGAAGGCCCAGTCTTCCATGGAAAAGATTGTGCTTGATCAACAGATTGACACTGGTTTTGGTCTTGGTTATGGCTCAACAGAATCAGGTGAGCCTTCTGTAATGCCTAACACCAGAGTTGCTAAGGCAGATAAGGTCATAGTACCACTGATTTCTAGCCCCATCTGTCAAGCTGGTGTATCTGGCACCAAGGTTGTTCATGAGGAAGTCAGACCAGAAAAGGGAAAGATAAAGGTTCAACAGAAACCCTTTTTGAAAAACAATGAACCTGGTAGAAAACCTAACAACAGAAAAGGTTTTCAAGATAACAAAAATAAAAGACCATTCATTGACAGACAACCTCATGTCAATCGTGCCAGAAATGATCACCAGAAGGGCAAATATCAAGAGAGAGTTAACTTTAGGCAGAAGAGGTTGGCTGGTCAACTTCAGAAGCCCAAGGTTAACCGTCCCTCTGCTCTTGATAGTATATGGGACTTCTTTCCAACAAAAAAAGGCTATGCAAAAGTATGTAAACAGGAAGCATGACCCTCACAAGCATCTGCCCAAAGTGAATCACACTTCAGTTTACTATAACTACCAGGTGGACAATGGGTACCACCCACCAAGGTTTCACTTGATGAGACCAAAATGGTACCAACTACCCAGACTCCATGACCCCCCAGGACCCAGCATTGCTTGGGTACCTAAATCTTTCTTTTGATCTTGCAGGAACTGTGTGCTGGAGCCATCTCTGAACAAGAATGGTTTATTGATAGTGGATGCTCCAGGCACATGACAGGTGACAGAAGTTGCCTAACTGAGTTCCAGAAATGCAAGGGACCTAGAGTTACCTTTGGAGGTAATGACAAAGAAGGTCAAACAAAAGGAAGAGGAAAGCTAATCAAGAACCAGATAATCATTGATGATGTCTCTTATGTCAAAGGACTGAAGTTCAACTTGCTAAGTGCTAGCCAATTCTGTGACAAAGGCTACACTGTTGAATTCACAAAGGACTTCTGCTATGTGAAGCATGAGACAACAAAGGAAGTGGTTCTTACAGCATCAAGGAAGAAGAACATCTATGTAGTTGATTGGAACACTGCAAAAGATGGAGTTTGCCTGATAGCCAAAGGAGATTCAAAACTGAGCTGGGACTTGCACAAAAAGCTCAACCATTTGAATTTCAAAACAATCAACAAACTGGCCAGAGAACACATTGTAGAAGGGCTACCAGACATTGTGTACAAGAAGGAGACCCTCTGCAGTGCATGTCAGAAAGGCAAACAAGTGAAGAATTCCTTCAAACCCATTGCTGGAGACCTTTCTACAAACCCTCTAAATCTGATTCACATGGATTTATTTGGACCTGTTGAGACTCCAAGCGTTGGTGGCAAGAAATATACCCTAGTCATGGTTGATGACTACTCCAGATATACTTGGACTATTTTTCTATCAAAGAAAAATGAAACTCTTCAGAAGTTGCCATCTCTGTTAAAGCAACTTCAGACTGAGAAGAACTTGAAAGTGAAGACAATCAGATCAGACAGAGGAACTGAATTTGTCAACCAAGTCATAAAGGACTTCTGTGATCAGAATGGGACTTTTCATCAACTTTCTGCCGCCAGAACCCCTCAACAGAATGGCGTAGCAGAAAGAAGGAACAGAACTTTAAAAGAAGCTGCAAGAACAATGATTGCAGAATCTGGATTGCCTATGAGATATTGGGCTGAAGCAATCAACACTGCATGCTATACTCAGAACAGAAGCATGATCAACAAGAATCACCAGAAGACCCCTTATGAACTCTGGAAGGGAAGAAAACCTAACATCAGCTACTTTCATGTATTTGGATGCAAGTGCTACATTCTTAACAATGGAAAGGAGCATCTGAAAGTCTTTCAAGAAAAGGCTGATGAAGGAGTCTTTATAGGCTATTCAAACACCAGTAAAGCCTATAGAGTACTCAACAGAAGGACCCTACATGTTGAAGAATCTATACATGTGAAATTTGATGAAAGCATCTCTGTTAAAGAGGTAACAGAGATCCTCAAGAAAGTCAGCATAGAGGACAGAACACCCGAACCAACAGAAGAGGTAGCAGATAATCCTGCATTTCCAACACCTGCACCAAACCCCCTTCTGTTGAATGAAGATGAAAACTCTGAAGATGAGGAACCAGAGAGACCAAGACAGCAGCTGACAGAACCAGACCTAACATGGTTAAGAGATCATCCTCCTAACCAAGTGATTGGTCAAATCAGAAGTGGAGTTCAAACCAGATCCACATCTAGAAGAGAAGCAATGCTTGCCTGCTATATATCTCAGATGGAACCTATGACAGTTGAAGAAGCTCTTGCAGTCTCAGATTGGATCAATGCTATGCAAGAAGAGCTTACTCAGTTTGAAAGGAACAAAGTATGGGAACTTGTTCCTAGGCCAAAGCACCAGAATGTCATTGGAACCAAATGGGTATTCAAGAACAAAGCTGATGAAGATGGCAACATTGTAAGGAATAAAGCAAGGCTGAAAACACTGCATACTTTCTAAATATACTTTCTCTCTCTATACTTACTTGCTCTGACTTCTCTCTTATTGTTCCCCGTAATAACCCCTCGGATAAGCTACCCCCGGGTACACTATCCATCACATTGAAAATAAGGAGTTTGGTTATCAAATGTTATTCATTTGATAACATGGGTTTAGTTAGAACACAAATCTATTTTTTGTGTGGTTTACTAATTTGATAGTATATGGAGTTGAATCTTCTTATGCGCGAGTTACATTTGTCAAATGTAATTCAACATGTTGAAATGTAAACCAACCACACATATGAAAATGTAATATCATATACAAATAACATGTAAATCAAAATAAACAAAATTAATATATTAAAAACACTAAAATATATAAAAGAGATACGAAATATATTATAGGAAAAATGTATGAATATGAAAAAATATATCACAAAAAAAGTGTATAATACAAAAAAATTAGCGTATGAATGTGAAATGTAATATACTTATTTTATTTAGATTAATATTTATTTGTTATGAATTGATTAAACTAAAAAATAGATTGAGTGAAATTTAATTTGAAGATAAATAAAATTAAAATTGTAATTACATTTTTAATATATGATGGAGAAGAAAAAAGAATTATAGAAAAATAAAAAGAATAAGAAATACTTATGTGTGTGCTACAAAAGAGCAAACAAAGGAGTAGTGGGAACGGTGACACCATGCGCATTGTGTGCCGATCCCACGATATAATTTGCGTTATTTGAGGGTTTCATATATCAAAATTGACCTAAACAGAAATAAAAACATTTATTTATTTCAAAATAGGCTTGTCATGTTTTATTCTCTTAATAAGAGTAAATACTGTCATGTTTTAATGTTTTGATTTATACCATTTACTCCGTATAATGTATCATTATCAACAAACTACTCCCTCCGTCCCGCAAAGAAGTTCCCGCTTTCCTTTTTTAGCAGTCCCAAAAAGAAGTTCTCATTTCCTTAAATGGGAAGTTATCTACATGAAAACAGTGCAAAACATTGTCAAACAGTGTCAAACAGTGTCGAAACAGTAAAATTTACCCTCTCAGAAATTTATTTACTTAATATATGTGTAGGTCAAACCGGAAACTTCTTTGCGGGACGGGGGAATATTATTTATGTATTTTACTCCCGTGCAGTGCAATGCAATGGTTGAGTAGCTAGTAATAATGGACTGACCCATTTAAAGCCCAAATATATATAGCGTGGACTATGAATTCAGCCACCCTCTTCTCCATTCTTCAGTTTAATGGAGGCTCCGAAATCCTCCGTGCGCCCCTCTTCCGGCCCTCTCCTCTCGCTCTCCGCCTTCGTCAATCGGCACTCCGCGCGTTTCGGTGCCGAGCTCTCTAGCCGATTGGATGAAGCCCAGCGTTTTTGCTCTAAACTAGCTTCCAACTTCCCCGTTCTACCACCATCGCCAAAGGTTGTAAGAAGCCATTTGCAGTCGGCGCATTCGTCTTTACCATTCGCTTCAGTGTCTCAGAAACCCAGAGAAGGTAATGAAATGAGCTCCGAACGTGTTTCTAAAGCGCTGCTAGGAACTTCAGTGTACACCGTCAGCAACGCCAACAATGAGTTCGTGCTCATTTCCGACCCCAATAGCACTAAATCCATTGGATTGCTTTGCTTTCGCGAAGAGGATGCAGATGCATTTCTATCTCAGGTTGATTTCATTGAAGATAAGCACTCTAGTTCGCAATAGCACCTTCTTATGAGCCATTATGTCAATTTATTCAGGTGCGGTCCCGGAGGGGGGAAGTTAAAGGCTCGGTCAAGGTCGTACCTATTACTCTTGATCAGGTTTAGTTCTTTCCTTTGTAATTGGGTTTGGATTTAATTATTAGTTTCAAACCATATACGGAGTAAAACTGGTACACAATTAGAATTTATTTAGACTAGACGACTGGTATCATGGTATTTACCTCTTCGGAGTGCAGCTTTCTGGTGGTTAAGGTCTTAACTCTCAAAGGTCTTAACTCTCAAAGATTATTGCTTTTGCAGGTCTATATGTTGAATGTTGAAGGAATTGCATTTCGGTTTCTCCCTGATCCTGTTCAGATAAAGAATGCTTTAGAGGTTGGCTTGTTATTTTCCTTCTTTTAAGTACATTCTCGTGGATCAGTTTATTTAGGTTGGCTCGTGAAAGTGCCAGTTTTGATACTGAAATACGACTGTTAAGTCTCTAATTTTAGGTTTAGTTTCATTCAATTACCCAAACATTCAGAATTTCAGATAGTCATCCTCATGAAAACTAGCTAAGCATCTGACATCATCAAAGTTGAAGTTTTTTTCATGCATTCTTCAGCTGTATGTCTAAGTCCACACTTATGAATTTAGCCGTAATGCCATTGTTCATCGTGATTAGTGTTTCCCCACCCTTGGTACCTTACAAGGAAATTAGTCTTCTGTCGGGCCCTTTAAAGGCTCTGTAGACATGCATTAATTTGTCTTGATCTTTTTAATCCATTGTAACATCTGTCTTTTTCTTTTGAATGTGAACTAGCTAAAACCTAAAAGTTCTACAAGCGGATTTGATGGAGTCCCTGTTTTTCAGGTTCGTTGTTTAACTTATTAACTTGTTCTCTTTTCACCGTAAAGTGGATTTATAGATTATCTCATCAGAATAGTATTGTAAATGGACACGGTGTTTTCTCAAACGTGTCACTGTGTTAGACTATTAGGGGGGTACGCAAAAAAAAAACACATTTAGACCGAAACACTGTATTTAATGTATTTTGATTTTTTTTCTCTCCTCGTCTTTCTACAAAAAAATAATAATCTTATAAGCTTTTTCCTGCAGTCAGACCTCCTCGTTGTGAAAAAGAAAAGAAGGCGCTACTTGCCCATATTCTTCAGGAAGGTATGCCTGTTTAGTAGTTAGTACTGTGTAAATTCTTTCGCATAGTCCCATGTTCAGAGAATTTGTATGCATCTAATAGTAGTATAGGACTTAACCATTTTGAATTGTTATTTGTTGCCACAGGAAGATATAGAGAAAGAATTGTCAACTGTCGCCCGGGCATCAAAAGGAGGATACAGTGCTTCCCAACACATACTGGTAACAAAAATCCCTTCAGTATTGATTACAATTACAAATTCGTGTGTGAATTAATGGGCGAAGATGTCATATATACTCTCTAAAAACCTATTGTGTGTGCATTGACACTTTCTTTATCCCCTTTAAACTTTAGGTTGGGAGCCTGGAAGATGTATTGATAAAAATGCAGGTAATTAGGAGGGTGCCTTGCTATTTTTTGCATATGCACTTAAGTAGTTTATCACAATACCCACCCAAGTTAAAGTAGAGATTTCTGAACTTTTTCGCACATGTACTTTTGCTTATTCTCCTCCCCCTGCCCATTCATTGATTACAGAAAAGCGAAAAGAACTCGGGTTGGGAAGATCTAATTTTTGTTCCACCTGGTAAAAGCCATTTACAGCATATACAAGACATAGCAAAGTCATAGTGCCTTTGGCGTATGAGGTAGTCCAGAAGCTGTTATATTGTGTGATCAAGGTCAGTGTAAAACTGATCCACTATCTTCCTAGTCCATTTTTCAGATTTCTTGCTGAGTTGTGCGTGCTTGTGTGTGGGGTAGCCGGATAGCATAAAGCATTATATGTTGTGGAGTATCTCAAAAGTAAATGCATGTCCGAGTTGCAAGTTCCGTTTAGGGTTTTTTGGCTAATCTTTCTGAAAGAAAATGCATTCTGAAAAAGTGAAAAGCTAATGGTATACGTGTTTTCGTTGTACCATGTAAGTGTTGTCTCATTGAGCAATGCTATTCGGACGTTAAGATTGGACATGTTAATAGGGTGATACTCACTTGCCAAACTTGTTATCCTCCAATCAATGTGTGCCACATATGCATGTTTTGTATAAGAACATAAAGTGTTCATTCCCTATAAAAGCATCACGTTCTTAAATAATCATCAAGACTGCATTTTTTACTGTTAAAACTTAAAATTACTTTTTCCATATTTCATCCAAACACTTCTCTTTCAAGCAAAAGTACTTGTTCCTAATGCTCTCCGAGTCAAAAGCTACTTATTCTGCAGATACGTAGAATAAGCAAACTGAACTAAGTAGTAAGTATAGCTACCAAACGGGTCAATAATGTAGTAAGAGAAGTAACAGTTCAGTTAGTCGACCCCAGTTATCTCCACACCTTCCATTCTTTCAACTGAGTTCTGTGTTGTCCAGGTTTTAATTTAATTTGTCTGCTCTATTTCATGTTGGATTCTTACAGGCCTATATAGTATGAAGAGCAAATGTGGACAGTTTCCAACTGGAAGGATAGTGTACTAGTGAAGGTTGCTTCAATCCTTCCCCTAGCTCTCACTAATTTAAGATGATTCATATGTGCCTATAATTAATTCCTTTATCTTTTGGGCAATCCCAGACAAGCCAATAATGGTACAGTATGGTTTAGGATTTACGAAACAGAGAAATGTAAATGATAAGTTGCTTCAATCCTTCCCCTAGCTCTCACTAATTAAAATGATTCATATGTGCCTATAATTACTCCTTTTTTGTTAAAACACTTATCATGGTGAACATTTGGGAAGTAATTTTAGGAAGCACAGCCAATACAGTCCTTCCCAATACAGACATACGGTGCTTCCCAACACCCGCAAAACGGTGTGGCTGTACCATTAGCTAAACTCAAAGTTATTAAAACACTTGGAGCTTAAGAAAAGTAATGTATGGTACCAGAGAAAAATCTTTCCATGTTAATGTTTTCCAAGACTAAGGATAGAAATATCTAGGAATTTTCTAATAATTTCATTAATACAAAAAAGGAAGCCTAACTAGACAATTTATGCCCAAAAAGTTTGAAGATTATATCTTTTCATATATAAAGTCTAACACAGATGAATACTAATTTTGTGCATTGAAGTGTAACTCGTGTTGTTGCGAAATGTATTGGTAGAAAATGTAATCCATGTATTAGATTGTAACTTGCTTTGCTACTTTCCGTGGTCACTAACCTTTCATATACTCCGTATGAAATGTAAAACGTGCGTTACAAAATGTAACTTTAGATATGTCGAAATGTAACTCGAGTAGGGATGGATTCGGTTCGGGCCACCCGGCCCGGTACTGTGCGGGCCCGGGACCGGCCCGATCGGGCGGTCCGGGACCGGGTCTGGGCCCGAACCGGGGGGAAGGGTGTGGGCGGGCTCGGTTCATCATTTTTGTGACCCGGGCCCGGGTCCGGGTCTATTTTAAAAAAAAACTTTTTTTTTTTATTTTTGGCTACTAGCCGTTGAGGCCTTGGGGGTGGGGCTGGGGACAACCCAAACGGCTATATAGCCGTTGGGTGGGGTAAAGGGGGGGTCCGGGGGGTTGGCTGGTAGGGGGGGGGGGTGGGGGGGTGGGGGGTAAAAAAACCTATAAATTCTCCTACTCTTAAACATTTTTTTCATATCTCTTCTCCAATTCTTCCTAAATCCTATTTTTAACTCTCTACTCTCTAATTCTCTTATTCTCCAATATATTATATATCTACTCTCTAATTCTCTTATTCTCCAATATATTATAAATCTACTCTCTAATTCTCTTCTCCAAGAAGTTAAGATGGAAAATCAAAATGCCATTATACGGCATAATTTTGATAAGCAGAAGGACCCGAAGACCGGGATGTGGTACGCAATTTGTAAATGGTGCGAAAAAAAATGTATTATGGGGGCTTCAGGCGGATTCAGGATGGCAATCAAGCATATGAAGTCATGTGACAAAGCCAAAGGATCGGGAGGTGCGGGAAGTTCCGATTGTTTTAATTTTCAAATGTAGTTCCTATTTCATTTCAAATAAATGCAATTGAAGTTTGTTTTTAATACTCGTATCAAACTATAAACTATAAAATATAAAATATAAATTATAAAAAAAAAATTAACCGGCCCGGCCCGAACCGGACCCGACCCGTGACCCGGGCGGGTGGCCCGGCCCGAACCGGACCCGTCCAACCCTCGGGCCGGTCCCGGGCCCACTGTTCTTGAACCGGCGGCCCGACCGGGCCTAGGCCCGGCCCGAATCCATCCCTAAACTCGAGTGTATTGAAAATGTAATTTGAGGAAAGTCGAAAATGTGAATTGCTCAATGTAAGTCGAGGGAAATCGAAAATGTAAATCATGTCAATTGAAATGTAACTTTAATCAAATCGAAATGTAAATAGTGTTAATGGAAATGTAACTTGAATCATGTCAAAATGTAACTTGTCTAGTATTGTGGTATTGTGTATATCTTCGTATTTGACAAGTTACATTTGGTAGGTTACATTTAGACGAACGTAAATTGAGTTCTATATCATACGAAAGAAAAAGTAATACAGACTAAAATTATCAATGAGAAAAGCAATTATTTTTACGAACTAAAATTTCTCATTGTTAATATAGTCACTTTCTATCCATCCGAGTTAGCAATAAGTCAATAACCCATTGTAACATTGAAACTAGCATGGATTACCGTTATCCATATAATGCTTCTCTTATTAACGGTTGGTGGCGTAATAATTCAAACCAGAAATAATGAACTTTTGGTTTACATGTAAATTGATGTAAGAGAATCACTTCTTTAAATTTTGGACGCAGTCAAATTTTAATGCGTAAATTAAGATTCTGATTCGTTATATTGAAATTGTTCGAATCAATTCAATTTGTTGAAATTGTGACTCAAATGGATGAATTGGTTGAATTTGATGAAATATAAAAAAAATTATATCTAAAAATTAATTAAAGAGAAGTTTCACTAAATAGAGTAAACATGTCTTAAAATTCTAAAATATGACTAATATATTTTTCTATCTGAAATTAAATAAATGAAAAAACTATATGAAAAAAGTTAAAGCATTCTCAAAATCAACTAGTTCAATTAAAATAGCGGTAAAATAGCGGAAATTACTCCAAATAGGAGTAAAATTATGGCAAAATCCTAAATAGAACTTGTTATGTTTTTATACCAAAATAGGACCATATTACTCCTATTGGAAACATATCTATTTTTTCATTCCATTCTTACTCCTCCTTTAAATATGAGTAAAAGGTAGTCAAAAGTCATAATTAAATGTTTAATTCATAATAAATTTGGAAAAAATTTAAAGGTAGTCAAATGTCATAAAACAGTTATTTTTTTTAATTTTTTTTAAATTAATATAAAAAAGTAAAACTTCATAAAAAAATTAAAAAACATGGATGCCTTTCCCACCCATGTACTTCCTCCCTGTACCACCACCTCCGACCGGTGTAAAAAATGTCATTTTTTTTAAAATGCCAAAAACAATGACATACTCCCTCCGTCCCAAAAAGGTTGGTCAAAGTTGACTTTCACGTGGATTAATAAAGTAAAAATTGTGCGGTTGAAATTTGTGCAGAGGAGAGAGAATTAATTTTAGCCACATATTCCTTACTTTAAATGGAAATGACAATTCTTTTTGGGATATCCAAAAAAGGAAATTTGGCTAACCTTTTCGTGACGGAGGGAGTATTACTCTTTGAGAATGTCAAAATTCTCATTAAATCTGCCATAAATAAGGCATTTCTAATGCATGTGAATCCCCCCGTGACCGGAGATGGTGGTGCTAGGGCGGCAGAAGTGATTTTTTGGTAGTGTTTTTTAGTTTTTTTAAAAAAATACCTTTTTTAATTTTTTTAATTTTGTTTTTAAAAAATTAATAAAAATAGTAAAACTCCATAAAAGTATTAAAAAAATATGGATGCCTTTCCCACCGCCTGTACTGCCTCCCTGCACCACCACCTCCGACCGGTGTAAAAAATGTCATTTTTTAAAAACTGCCATTTTTTTTCTGAAAATGCCAAAAAATGGCATATTACTCTTTGAGAATCACAAAATTTTCATTGAATCTGCCATAAATATGGCATTCGTAATGGATGTGGCATTTTCCCCCTGGTGACTGGAGCTGGTGGTGCTGGGGCGGTAGAGGCGGTGGTTATTTTTTTACGTTTTTTATTTTTTAGTTCTTTTAAATTATTTTTTAATTATTAATTAAATATTTTATTAATTTTTTATTATTTTTTATTATTTCATTCTGAATTAAAACATTTCAATAGCAACCATAGTATATTTGTCCAACACACACATAATTAGTCCTATCAAAACATAGTTTACTTTTTTGTCCTGTTTGTGCAAATTAAACTAACCAGCTTTTAGTCTTATTTTGACAATTAACCCTTAAAACAGTTTTCTTAAATTTCAATCTTATAAAATCCGAATTCAAAAGTTCAATATTTATTTAAAAAATTGATTGAATGGCCGAAAATACATATTGCCAAACAAGCATAAACTCTTTAGATGAAATTACATCCATCTATGGTGCAGCCTAATGATAAGTATATACTAGCTCCTTCCCAAAAAAATTCTCACATTGACTTGGTTCTCATATTAAGGAAGTGAGAGTAAGTGTAAATGTATGTTTGTAGTTGTGTAAGAAAAATGTAAAATGAATGTTAGCCATACAAATTTTACAAAAATGGTAAGTCGAAAGAATTTTTTGGGATGACCCAAAAAGAAAAATTTGAAGAATTTTATGGGACGGTACTATGTAATTATCCGCATGGATAACTCAATTAGTTGAGTGGTGGCAAACTCACAACGGTCATGTGAAAGTTACAACTCCTGTGTGCTGCGCTAGACTTCTAGTGCACACGAGTATAAGGTCTATACCATCATTAAAGTGACTAAATCAGTGTACTTATAACCTCTCATATGTATTATCGGGTCAGAGCATGGGAGCCTGAGGCCCTTGATATTAGGGATTCACCCTTTTAAAATAATACTCCCTCCGTCCCGAAATTATCTTCATTCTTTCCTTTTCGGTCTGTCCCAAATTTATCTCATCTTTCCCTTTTTGATAAAGAATATGTGGTTCACAATCATTCTTACACATTTCTCTCTCCTCTGCACAACTCTCCACCACACAAATCCCACTATCTTAATCCCCGTGCCCAGTCAAAAGTCAAAACCGAAGTTAATTATGGGACCCAGGGAGTACTCCGTAACAATAATAATACTCCCTCCGGTCCCAAATGAAATTCACACTTTGACTGCACACAAATTAAGGAAATAAATTTGATTTTACTGTTGTGACACTGTTTGGCATTGTTTTGCACTGTTTTGATGTAGATAATTTGCCAAATAAGGAAAGGATAAGAAGTGTGAAGTTTATTTTGGACCTACCTAAAAAAATGTGAATTTCATTTGGGATCGGAGGGAGTATAATAAGAGCGAAATAGGGACGTAGCAGGGGGCAAGACGTTGACACGGCAACGTCAAAGTAGTTGGCATTGCCTTCCCAACTACGGAGTACTTCAGTTCTAATTCTATCAGTACAGCATCACGGACAGGTTAGATTAATCTTTCAAGAAAATTATAAAATGTAATAATCCTTACATTTATATGTTCAAATTAGGATTTGGCATGTCACAGTCTCTATTTGTTTTTGAAACCTACATTGGAATATGAATGCTCCATTACATCCATATATATGATCATTGTTATCATATTGCGAATGATCTCTTTGATAGAGTATATCTAGAGAGAAGTGAGAGCTAGAGAGAGAAGTACAATAATATGCTTCAATAGAATGAATTTGTAACCCCTATAACTACTCCCAAGGGGAGTATTTATAGAGAAAATTAGGGTTGGGCTCCCAAGCCTTGGGCTTGGGAGGCCCATCTACAACTGGACCGCTACTGGGCCGAATACAAAGCCACTAATGGGCTGTACAAATGAGTAAGTATAAAATCCGATTCTGGGAGGTCTTTGTGGCCGACGAGGGCGTGGCCGACGAGGGCACGGCCGACGAGGGCACGGCCGACGAGGGCACCCGGGTTCCTTGGACTCAGGACCATAATCCGAGTTGGCTCCTTTTCGGCCGACGGGGGCGTCTTGGCCGACGAGGGCGCCACTCTGTTGTCTTGTGCTTTCTGTTCTTCCGAGTATGTGGGTCCTGGGGCTCAGACCCATATACTCCATCAGGAGTCCCCCACTCTCTAAGCTGAGACGTAGATGAAGTGAAGGAGAGTAGATTCCTGTGCTTTGCTGCCCTTGGCCGATGCGGGCATCCCCGGGCCGTTAGCCGTTGCGGCGTTGGCATTGTTTCCTCTTTGGTGATCCTGTTCTGTGCTTTGGCCGTTACCTGTTCTTCGCTGCGGGTGGGGAGGCCGTTGTTTCCTTAAATGTGTTTGAGGGTGATGACTGTCTTGTTTCAATGTCGGCCGTTGAAGGCGCGCTTTCCCCTTCCTGGACGTTGGTGGTTGAAGTTTATGTTTGGGCCGGTGAGGCCGTTGAGGTTGTTCCTTGCTTTGAGGATGATGGCGTCCTTTCCTTTGGGTGGTCGATGAGGGTGCTTGCGCACTCCTTTTGGCCGTTACTGGTTGGCCTTCGTGTTCTTGGCCGAAGGGCCCGTCAAGATTAATTGTTGGCGGAGGACGATGAGTGTCCTTGCCTCTAGTGGCTTGTTGACCGTCGCTAATGACGTTATGGGCCTTTGGCCGATGAGGTTCCGTTGTGCTGTGTGGATGATGTGGCCATGTTTTGTGGTTACCTTGTTTATACTCTTTGTTTTGTTGAGGCCGGTGTAGTCCCCCAGTCCCCCACTGCTTCAGGCCGAAGAGTGTGAGGGGTGAAGGAGTTGCTTGAGTCCCTGGCCGAAGCGGTCACGCCGTAGTCCCCCCTGAATCCAACTCTCATGGCGATTTTCTGGCCAAGGTAACCCTGTGGGAGAACCCTTGCGCGTAGATCGCTTGTAGAGAGTTATCATCAAGGGTCATGACGAGGAGCCGATGGCTTGTGGGCTCTTGGGTTCTTTGATCTTGTGGCCGTTATGTTCCTGGCCGTTGCCGTCTCCTTATTGTTTGGCAGTTGTGATCTTGGCGAGCAAGTGGGACGTTGTGGGCGCTTGCTGGCAGTTGTAAAGCCGCTGAGCGTGTGTAGGCCGTAGAGTCCGTCTTGCCAGTGGGCTGTTGATTTTGAGTTTGGCCCGTTGG